TCCGTGCTCTAGTGTCATGTCCCAGTCATCGACAATGAGGTGTCTGACGACTGACGTCTGCGTTGCGAATCTTTATCGGAAATATTTGGTTGTTCGCAAATCTGCAGCAGAAACAATGGGACATTATCGCTCAACACGGATAGTCCTACTCCCTACTCTAAATTAACCAATTATGCAATGAGCGTGGGCAAAGGTTTTACTTTATGACGTCAGCTTTATTAAACACTGCCATTTCGAGCGGTTCCTGAACTTTAGTCACGGGCGCCAAAACAAACTTGTCACTAAAGTGATACATGATACACTATTTTCTACGACTTGCATAAACTCAGTTTATTCACATAATAATAATAATAGTATGACAAAGTTGAAGTAACACTTCCTCACTTAACCTGCAATTGCCGTATCTTAATTATTTATTAATTGTTAGCGAACTTCAGTTATGTTAAGTTAGTTTGTTATATGAAAACAAAATTTTGACTTCAAATTTTCACACGCCGGCAGATTAATTTTTATTTTCAGCAATAGTAGAAAACGCGTCTCGTTTTATTTCGAAAAATTTTGGACAACGATTTTGAACAGCCCAAAAGTTCAACAGACATGTTTATGAATAATTCAATTTGGCTAAATTTACAAACCTGATGAAAATGATAAAAAACTAACCAAAACTAAAATAAAAATAAAAAAATAAATGTATTAAATAGTAATAATAAAAACCAATTATTATTGTTGTTAGTCTTCTTTCCTACCTTTCTTTTCATTTCAACTTCTTTAAATTTAAATTTAATAATGACAATTATCTAAATACATATTTGATAGGCTAAAAATCAAAATATTTACAGACAAATAAAAAGAAATAGAGTACTGGGTGTCGAAACTTCCAAAAATTAAACCAATCGAAAATATATGAATTTTTTTTCTGGTAAAAACAAAGTTGGAGAAATGATCAGCGTACAGTAATAAACAAAAAGTCTATTTTTCAATGGATGACGTAGTTAGAGAGGAACATTATAGCAAGTCAAAATATATAAATATAAACAAACACATACACAGATGACTGCCAAAATATTAAAATACGAAAAATGAGCACAATAAAAAAAACAAACTAACAGCAGGTACGCGATTTATAAAATTCGGAAATAGTTACTGCTCAGGTATAATTCTCTGGCTCAGAAAAATGGGTCTGCAATGAGCACGATAATGCGCACCACACATAACCCTAATCGTTCTCTTATGTAATTTAAAACTGATCTGTGCTGCAGTACTGTGCCCCACAATTGTATAAGAAATTTTTGAGTATGCCCAACATAACACGTTTTAAGAGTGTCAAAGTTTATGTAAGATCGAAGTTCTTTTATTAAATATATCAGAATCAATAAAGCTTTAGTGAGCTCATGGATTTTCCGTGACCACGACAATAGGTTATCTATACCGGGAGCTTTACACTGTTTTCTACCACTAACCTCGAGCAAGTCAGTATTTTCATTCAATTCAATTCAATTTATCGTTCTTTATAAGAAGATTATTGTCATTGTGTTGTCATCCGCAATGCGAAAACATTTAAAACAACATCGATTGACTCATATTTTAGTAATTGGACTTTTTAATTATCCCGGTAAACTGACCATTTTTACAATTTCGTTTTTATTAAAAAAAAAAAAGCATATTGGAAACTTTCTGCTTAGAATCGAACTTAACGACTTAGTAGAAAGTAACATAACATAAATCCCATAGACAGCGGTGTAGACGATTTTGACAATATCAGAGAAAACATTTTTGTTACTAGAGACATCCAACCGCCCAAAGCATTTTCTAAATATCCCTTAAATATACCCTGCGCCAATCACATTACTCTTTTAAAAAACACCGTTCCGTTCCGGAAAATTTCACGTAAGCACTTTTTCCTATCAGTTTCTAATGTAAGCAATTCGAACACGCTCGAATATAATGATTCAGTACGAAAAAAGATAATAAATGAAAGCCCTGAAATGAACTCCCATAAATCGTAGGTTTTATTGCGTTCGTTTTATTACCAGATTCGACACTCCGAGCCCTACTCGCCATATTTTTTATTTAAGCATTTATAGGTTGTCCACGTGCCGTTCAAAATGCTATACCCAAGCACATATTTTACGCAATTTTTCGCTACGGCTGCTGTTAAAATCCAAATCCTGATAAAAAAAAGGCACTGCTCTTTAACTTGTCGTTCGAGATTCAATAGACACATATAAACTTATTAAACCAAATTAAAAAAGAAAACTGTATAGCACATTTTAAAAAATTTCTCCGGAGGCAAGTCTGCAGAATTGATGATGAAAGTCACGGATTTGCGATCAATCTGATGATGTTTTGTCGTTTGTCTTACGATCACGTTCACACGTCACTCATTTAATGTATTCATGCTCTCTTGCAAAAATGTACCCCAAAAATAATAATCACATGTTGCTTGTTGCACGCCGCAGGCCCTAGTTTAAGTTTATTAGTAATCATTCTTATTTCGAGTATAATACAGCGTGTGTTGAATCGTGTGCGAATTATGCAAAATATGTGCGAGTCTAATGTATCTCAGGAGATGCTCCCGCCCAAATGTAGAAAACACTATTCTATTGAGACTAAAGAAGTTATAAACAATGTTTATTTGACTCTCATTGAACGTGGTGCCAGCAAGCAAGCATCTTTAAAAGAAACGGCCACATAGACGAAAATTACAACATCAACTGTTTGGAAAATTGTGAATAATCCCATTTCAGCGAGGAAAAAAAGAAGCGATGCTGACATTTTCTCGAGTGTAGATGAAAGTGATCAAGATATAATACGGTGTCAAATTTATCAGTTATACGAGGAACAAAGCGTGCCTACATTAGATATCTTAATTAGGAGGCTTGAAAAAGATTAAATGTGGCAGAACTACCTTATGAAAGTGTATTCAACACATGGGTTTTAGATTTTAAAAAATTAACAAAAGGCAAGTTTTAATACAATCTTTTAGAGTTCGGAAATGGCGACTTAAATATCTAGAAAAAGTTAGGATTTACAGAGAACGACAAAGGCCAATTATTTACTTGGATAAAACCTGATTCGACACTTATGATACCCCGGAAAAGGGTTGGGTTGACTCAACTGATAAGTGTAAAACAAACACGCCATCAAAAAGAGGTATTTTGCATGCTGGCTCTAAAGATGGTTGGATTCCAAATGGACTTTCTCTGTCTGCGAAAAATATTAAAGATGATTTATTTGAAAGTTGGTTTAAAAACAAACTAGTTCCAAACATTCCTCCTAATAGCGTCATTGTAATGGACAACGCAAGTTATCACAGTAGACAGTCGACTAAAACCCCTTCCTCATGTATAATAACGACATTTATTTTCACGAAGATTATACCAAAAAGCAATTAATTGAGATTTTACAAAGCTTGAACCTACAAAAGGAATACGTCTGTGATAATTATGCAAAATATCTAGGGCATACAGTTTTAAGGCTTCCGCATTACCACTGTATATTTAATCCCATTGAAGATGTTTGCCACCAACTGAAACCTGCCATTCGTCGTAACAATGTTTTTCCCCGCGTTAACTCCAATGTCCTCAAACTTATAAAAACCGAAGTTTTTAACATCCCTCCACAAAGTTGGGCAAATTCTGTTAAACATATAGAAAAAGCAGAACAATCATATACCCATATTGTAAATAACATAGAACAAACATAATTAGAACAGGCGATGATAGCGATAGTGATACTGATATATTATGTGAATAATTTTAAGTAATCACAGTAGGTAATAAAAATAATTTGTAATTTTATTTTAGATTTAAACATAAATACATACATAAATAAATAAATATTGTTTAGTATATTTCCTAACAAAACCCCAAATAATTAAATTCTAAGCAAAGTACGGACCTGTTCGGCCATATTTCATTCTTACAGCTTGCCCGAGTCTTTCCTTAATTCGTACCAGTTAGTCATTTTCTTATATCTATGAACAGACTTTACCTACCGAAACACCAAGTAATGGATTTTTATCACTTACTTGAAATCCTTTTTGATTAGTTCTAAAGGATTGGCTTAATTCCTATGTAAATTTTCTTATCACATTAAGAATTACACCAAACCTCACCAAAAAACTAAATATAATTTCACTTTGAAAAGCAGAAAAATGGATACGGTAATTATTGTCGAAGGAAAGAGTAAACATGTTTACACGGTGATACTTCCTGAATTGCCCTCCTCTCGGTATGTGTCCAGAAAATTGAACGTGAAATAAACAGCTTAGAGGACCGTAAATAAAACCGTGATGGTTGACGTTGAAAACATTGCGGTTGACGAACTTTCCGACACGTTAATATTGCGTGAAATTGTCGCAATTAAATATTATTTGAAACGGGAAAACTTTCAAAAGATTATTCATCGATAAAGGACTTTATTATTAGCAACGAAATGCAAATCTTCCTATATTTTATATTAAGGTAGATACACCGACGTGGTTATATTTAGATCCCTAATAAATGTAGGTCAGTTTAGATAAAAGTGCGTTGAACGCGAGTACAACCAAGAAAAACAAATCGTTGCTGCATATTCTGAACAAAAATTCTTTCACTTTTCGACAGCCAGTATATTATAATTTCAATTAAACAAAAATTGTTTCAGCTTGTTTTCATATAACAAATCGCTGACAATTTAATAATAAAATCAGTAATACCAAACTGGATTTAAAATGAATTTAGAAAATTTGCGGATCACTGAATTAAAAATTAGCCAATATTGTCAAAAATTCACCATTCGCAATCATCTTGACACTTGGCGGATGCGCGATAATAGTAAATTTACTTTTAAATAAAAAACATAAAAACATTTTAATTTGCAATTAAGTTATACTTGTAACACTGTATCTATTTAAAATATTGAGATAAACGCCCAAATTAATCACAAAATAATTTCTCACCACTGCATTAATGTATTCACGGACTTACCTCCTTTTTATTTGTTCTGTGCCTCAATAACCTAAAAATTTGAAATTTGTATTTGTATTAATATCAATGACAATTTTAGAATTAACGTTAGCCATTATTAAACCTCACATCGTAAAAAACCCAGTTTTTCTCGATGCGGTTAGAAACGTGATTTTGAATTCCGATTTCAAAATCGTGAAATCCAAACGGAAACGAATTTCATTGGATGAGGCAACTCACTTTTATGAGGAACATAAACACAAGTTTTTTTACAATAGACTAGTAACATTTATGACTAGCGGACCCTCAGATTTGTATGTACTAGCAAAAGAAAATGCTATTAGGGACTGGAGGTCGTTAATGGGGCCCACTAAAAGTTTTAAGGCTCAATATGAAGCTCCTAATACATTGAGAGGTAGATTTGGTCTGTCAGATACAAGAAATGCAACTCATGGATCTGGTAGTTGACGTCTTAACAAAAATCTAGTGTGGTTTTGTATAATTTTTTTTCAGATTCACCAGAATCTGCACGAAGAGAAATTCAAATATTTTTTCCAGACTTCAATGTTGATGAATGGTATAGGACTGCAGAACAAAAGTTCCGATCAAACCTAATAATATTTTCAAAAGAAGAGTTTATCCACAAAATTGTTGATACTTAGCCTAAGATACAGGAGACACTGGTTTTTCTGGAACCAAAATGAGCAGGAATATTTTCAATATATTTTTGGTATACTGTATATTTACAACTTTATTTAAAATTTATATTTACAAAAGGGAGATTAAACTATCTCCTGTGTCCTAGATATTCAGGCATTAATTTTGACAAACACTTTTGGCCTCTGAAACACTTTTATACCACCGTCAATTCGTTTCAGCTCTTCTTCAATATCCATTTTTCTTCTTCTCATTTTGAGAGTGTCATTTCTTACAGGCATCATGTTTAACTCCTGTATCCTAGCAGCATAACCTAAGAAATAAAGATACAGTATACTTATAATGTTAATATAGAAAATTGGAGAACTAACTTTGCCTTAAAACTCTTAATGTTTCTTTCCTTTCTTCTTCTGGGAGCAAAATGTGTCCAGGGGGACATTCTGGTTCTGGTTCTTCTTCGGTTTCTTGTTTTTTATCTTTCAAATATTTTGGCAATTCACCTCTTTTATAAGAAGCTGGAGCCTGTGAAGGTACTTTGGTTGAATTTTGCTTAATTGGTCTAGGTTTTATATTTTGCTTGTTATCTTTGATAAAATCTTTGTCTTCTAGAACTTAAAAACAAGAACTTTTATTTTCAGAGTTAGATATACAAAGCAATAACAAAGAATAACTTTTACAAAAAGTTATTCTTTACAAAAGTTATAATACTATTCTCAAACAAAACATTTATTATTTATAATCTTTGAAATAAAAAAGAAACATTTAAAGTTCAACATACCCAATTGCGCTAATTTACCTTCCATATGATCATTTTGATCACCCTGGCCACTTTGTGGTGGTTTTAAGGTACATTCAGGTTTCTTATTTTTTACTTCAAATTTAGGAATTCCAGGGCTGGCATATTTTATAACACCAGTTTCATATAAGTGAGGAAGATCTTCCTCTCTCTCTGTTTGCATCGCCCTATGAGAAATTCTGCCTTCATCTCCATCACATTTTTTCCTGACAAATTTGCTTTTAACTAATTTGACTGAATTCTGAGGATTTGTCGATTGGGTTGCTTTTTGTTCTGTTTTAGTTGGTTTAACCAGTGCCTGACTACTGGTGCTCGAACTGTCTCTAGATTTTATCATTCGAGGCACGTTTTTATATTTTTCGGGAAATTTCTGTTTTCGGGGTTGTATCACTCCCACGTCCTGCAGAATGCCTTGCATGTGTTTAATAGACTTCATGTTTTCTTTAATAAAATTTCGTCGGTGAATGGGCTCTAAAATGAAATCCATAAAAATAGTTCGATATTACCTTCTAAAAATTAATACTCGGTTCGGGAAAAATTCCTTTTAAGGTAGTAGAATGCATATTTATTGCTGAAAATGAAATTTTCAACACCCTTTAATCCTGTTTATCGGATCTCGCAATGAAAATTTTCGGCATTGTCGTCTGACAATTTGAAATAAAATATAACTGTCAATCCCAAAACAAAACACATTTCAGAAAATTACAAAATCGAACACCCCGTAATTAAAAATTAAACAATTTTATAACCTACGTTCGTTTCTTATAACAAAGCAAACAATTGCCAATGGAAACCAATCTGACGTTAGCTTCCATGACGTTAACTCTCATTACGATTATGAATATGTGGTATTGTTTTAATTGAAATATTCTGGCATGGCTGTCCACTTGAAATTAAATTTGCTAAATTTCCATTTAATTCTGATAATAACAAGGTTTGCACGAATTTGTAAATTGGTACGTGGATGATGTAATAAGTTTCGAAAGAAGCCGAAATGCAACGGTAACCATAACCCAACTTACGTATAAAATGTTTTAAGTTTTAAGATAAGTCTTTTAAATCTTACGTGGAGTTTTTGGTGCTGGCCAATATTGTTTTTAGTTGACTTAAAGACAACAATTTAAAAATATGCCTTGGGTTGCAGAAACGCCTTTATCAAGATTACAACAGTTCTGCATAAATGTATTGAGATGCGGACCAGTTCCGAGGCATGTTGCATTTATAATGGATGGCAATCGAAGATATGCGAAGAAGGTTCATCTGGAGAAAGTGGAGGGTCATAGCAAAGGATTTGAAAAATTGTCTGAATGCTTAAGGTGGTGCTTGGAAATAGGCGTAAAAGAGGCAACAGTATATGCCTTTAGCATAGAAAATTTTAAGAGAAGTAGCGAGGAAGTTAATGGTTTAATGCAACTCGCGAGAGAAAAATTTGCCAAAGTTTTTCAAGATAGTGAGAGGTTAGAAAAAGAAGGTATATGTATAAAAGTTATTGGAAATTTATCCCTTTTACCTCGCGATCTACAAAACCTTATAGCCAAAGCGATGCTTTTAACAATGAATAATAAAAAGCTTGTAATAAATGTGGCATTTGCTTATACTTCCACAGATGAAATAGCTAATAGTGTAAAAAGTGTAATTCAAGGGGTAAATAACAATGAGCTATCTGTTGATGACATCAATGAAGAATTATTGTCAAAATGTTTATATACAAGTGATGGAACCAATCCTGATCTCCTGATCCGAACTTCTGGTGAAGTGAGACTTAGCGATTTTCTACTCTGGCAAAGTTCAAATACAACCATATACTTTGCAGAAGTTTTATGGCCAGAGTTTACCTTTTATCATCTAATGGCGGCAGTGTTTAAATATCAAAGATCCTATAGTGATAGAGTGAGGTTTCTAACACATACAGAAAAGGTTAAAGAAAGTTACAACGGACGTGTTCAATCATTTTTAGAAAAATTACGGCAGAGAAGGATTTCCGAGTTAAAGGTTTATGCCAGTTAGTGGCATAGTCTCTTTGTTCCACTAGCCTTATTAAATTATTTATAGAATATAACGATACTAAATTGGATAGCATTGTTTCATTATCAAAACTCCTTGCATTGTTTATCCGATTTACAAAATTAAACAAGTAAAGATTTCATCTGTTATACTTACTAACATTTGGTAAATTCTTTAAAATTGCTTAAACAGAAACATGAATTTACAATTTTCTTTGTAATTGCATTATACCTTGACACTAATGGTCCTATTTGTTTTCATGTATTGCTTGTCGTGTTTAATTTGAGAATTTATGTTTTTATTGTACTTTAAACTAAACAGTATTGTAATGGTTTAACACACAATTATATTAAAAGTTGAGATACGTGCAAGACATGTCTGCGTTCTGCAAAAAAGCATCATCATCAATTCAACAGATTTGCCTAGAAGTCTTAAAGTGTGGACCAATACCAGAACATGTGGCTTTTATAATGGATGGCAATCGGCGATATGCCAAAAAGTTTAATCTTGAAATAACCGAAGGCCATAGTAGAGGAGTAAAAAAATTATCAGAATGTTTAAAATGGTGTTTCGAATTGGGTATAAAGGAGGTGACAGTATATGCTTTTAGCATAGAAAACTTTACACGCAGTGAGAAAGAAGTATTCACTTTAATGCAGCTAGCTACAGATCATTGCATCAAATTATTGGAAAATGAGAAGAAGTTAGAAAATGAAGGCGTCTGTGTAAGGTATATTGGAAATTTGGCACTGCTACCTCCCGAACTGAAAAAACTGATTGCGAAAGTGGTACTTTTAACAAGGAAGAACAAAAAGTTTTTCTTAAATGTCGCGTTTTCATACACTTCCACTGATGAAATAGTAAACGCTGTAAAATCCGTAGCAGAAGGCGTGTATAATAAAAAAATAACAATTGAAGATATTAATGAAGAATTGCTTACAAAATGTTTGTACAGTAGTAAGGGAACTGATCTTTTAGTAAGAACCTCTGGTGAGGTCAGGCTAAGCGATTTTTTGCTTTGGCAAAATTCTAAAGCGATTTTTCAATTTGCCAAAGTCCTTTGGCCGGAATTTTCATTTTGGCATTTCGTAGCGGCCATATTCAAATTTCAGAGGTCCTACAGAGATATATTGGAATTAAAAAACGAGAAAAGTAGAATGACTAAAGAAAGTTATTTGCGTATTAAATTATTTTTAAAAGAACTACATAAAGAGAGAAGAACTCGATTAAAACTATACGCAAGCGATCATGAAGTGTAGTCATTCTAGACATGGGATAAAAATAATTAAAAAAGGGTGTTGAATTATTGCGAAAAAAATCGTTTTTTCCCAATTTAAAATTTTCTACAATTTGCTTTTGAATTTGCTAGGTGTTATTGCCATTTAAAAACAAATAACACAGATGGACTTGCTTCTGTTTAACCAGTGGCATTCGTGAGACCGTTTTACTTAATTTAAATAATGAAAAATGTGGAACGCCGAAATTTAGATACCCAAAACAAATCTATTTTTTTTTTGCATGTGCAGTTAATTGCCACCTAGTGCCAATAATAGCTACCAAGTTTAAAAACAAAGTGTAAAAGGAACTTAAGTAGGAAAAAACATTTTTTTTTTTGCTTTATCTCGCGAACAAAGCATTTTAGGGCAAAGTTTATATGAACTTTTCTACTTATTTTTATCTGCTGAATAGGCTAAGATTCTACATTACACAAAATGATAAATGTGTTAAAACTATTTGTCTTCCCAGTTTTTTAATAAAATTTTTTACAATGTAAGAGGCATTAAAAGTGGTTCCAGTGAATTTATTTGTCTATTCTACAACCTCAAATTCTGTGTAATCTTAAATCAAATAGTTTGAAATTATTTATTGTTGTATTTCACTATAATAAAAATCAATATTGGAATAATTTAATACTCTGAGTAAATGCTGTTAGATAACTTTTATGTAGATGTTTGAAAAAACGCTTAATCAAGCTGTTTGCCAGTGTAGGGGGAGCAATACATATATGATTAAAAATGTGAAGGGTACGTGATTTGTTCTGGATTACCTATCAATAAAAATATTCTTACTGAACATTTGAAGATTTTCGCCTTTTATTAAATTTAACTCATGTGGGGAATAAGGTCTGGATTACTCCATCCAAAACAAATAGGAATTTGCTTTTTCACTTGTTTGACCTTTTGATATATTTTTGTAATAGTTCTTTTAGATGGTTAGCTGTGATTCTGTAATCTTGAGCAAAAATTTTCTTGGAAAATGTTTATAACAGATACTAAGAAATTTTAAACTATTTAATAACACAAAACGTCACAAACAGTAACATTTAACAAAATTTATATTTTTTTTATATACAATATATAATAGTTGTGAAGAACTCTAAAGCAGACCGACTAAATACTTCATAGGTTTAACCCAGGAATGTGGAACAACTGTACACTTATGTACATTACGGCCATGAATTTGGTACGTGGATTTTCGTACCGGTCAGGCCTCTACAAAAGAAACAATACTGCTCTTGCGAAGTTACAAATGGGAATAAGCACTTGTCTTAAATTACGCTTTGCCGGCTACTGGCGCTCCCGGCTTAGGGGCATTTTTATCTACGCCCGCCTCTTGCTCCAACTGGCGACCCAAGTACTCCCAATTGTGGACCATCAACTTTTGGACGGCGAGAAGCGCCTCGTAACGAACGTTCGGATCTTCGTGGGCGAGTAGTTGCATTACCAGCTGTTTGCCTCCCAATTGTTCGATTACGCTGCAAACATATTAGAAAAGACTATCAAGTTTGAAGATTACTTTTGATGGAATATTATGAATTAAGTGGTGTAAAACATTACTATCCACAAATCAGCTTGGAGATAAGGTTGTGGAAATTCCTCCAAAAAATGTCAAAAGGGAAGAAAAAATTAGAATAGCGAGTGGTTTTAATGTTAGCAAATAAATAACTTACTGTTTTCCGCGGGGATAATGACGAACATACTCTCCGATGTCGAAACTAGCCACGCTGAGCACCAGAGGGTCCTTGCTGGTTTCGAGCAAGTGGATAAGGATACGCAAAAGTTCGTAGTTTTTTTCGTTGAGGCGTTGAGCGTTCTCCCGCCAAAATTTACTCTTGTGCACCGGTGACCATTCCAACCGACCCGATTTCACCTCGGTCGCGTATTCATCGAAGGAGCTTAGATCTTGAACGGAAGCCTGCAGTTTCTCGGATAGAAACTCTATGTCGGCCGATATATCTTCGTCGTCGAATTTGCGCTGTTCGAAAATTTGCAATTGCTTCAGTACCTGAAAAAAAAAATTGGTTGTTGAGCGCACGGATTTTTAACACCACCCGGTATCGTCGACGTACCTTGCTCTGAACCATAGCGATGCAATGCTCTTTCGCTACTTGCTGATCTTCCGGTTTCTCGATTAAATTTCTGAACACGGCTAAGATAATTCTGGTTACCTTCTCTTTAACCGAATCACTCAAGATATCGGCCAAAATTGGGATGACGTTGAACTTATTCATCTTCTCAGCCAGCAGGGAATTAAAAGTAAGCACCCACAGGCAGAAAATCAACTGATACTGAACCTACATTAACGGTACCGATCAAATGTAAAAAACGAAGAGCTTTATACAAAACTTGATAGTCACATATAATGTTGGGAATGGTCAATTGACCACTTCTTAATTGACTAATCAAAAAATGTTTTTTAAGTAACATCTTGCAATTGGATCGGTAAGTTCGAAAACCGTACACATCCAAAATTTGACATTTAAAAGTAAAAGTTGTCTCTGATTGCGCCCCTAGAATGACTACCCAGTGATAGTGAAGGAGGTAATGAATCTAGTAGTGTTAGTATAAAAAGAAAAAGGAATGTCGCTAGTTGAAACACAACATAAGAAAGACATGATGAGGAATATGTATCTAAAAAGGGGAAGCACGTTAATTCAAACACTGTAGGACATGCATGCCGGTAAGTTAATAATTTTTAACAATATATTTGATGGTTTGCAAAATAACTGTTTTATCTTATAGTTGTACAAAAAAATGCATGGAACAGTTTACTGAAGAAGACAAAAAATCTGTTTTATCCAAGCTACTTAGCCGGCCGTCAAAAAACCAACAAGACACGTATTTACAAGGACTCATGGAAGCAAAATTAATCCAGAGACATCGCGTTAGAGCTGCGGAAAACAAACAAGAAAGAAAATTAAACTTTAATTTTGTTTTGAAAGGCCCAGATCGAATTTCCGTGTGCAAACAGGTATTCTTCATGCTATATCACACTGGGAAGTTCAGCGTCTGAATACCCTACTTTTGGCAGGTAAATCACCACAGGGTCTCAGAGGCAGGCATAATAATATTGTGCGATGAATGGACTCACTTCACATTATTCCTCCAAAACCATTCGTTATTTAGATGCATCTTTGGATGCGAAGAAAATGCATGCATTGTTTGTCGCAAAATATCCAGAGCTGGAAAATTTAGTTAAATACGAATTCTATTTGAAATATTTTAATGAAAACTTCGCTTTTAAGATTGGGAGGCCACAGGTTGATGTATGCTCAGAGTATGAAAGACATGGAACGAAGCTGAAGGATGTTAACCTTAACGATAACGCAAAAAGAGTAGTTGCAGCGGAACTAATGGTCCATAAAAGTGCAAAACCTGTGCTCTCAACGACCAGAAGTAATGGGACTAGCTTTTCATTATAGTCCAGGAAATATTATATTTTAGGCAGCTCTGGGTATTTGCATTCCAAATACACAATCTCAAGGAGAATACTCGTTATTTTTATACTTCCCATGAAGGTGAAGGTCAGAAGGGACCTAATGAAGTGCGCACATTTCTGAATGATTACACAAAGAATCATATACCACCTGAAATCACTGAACTGCATTTATTTTCCGATGGATGTGCAGCGCAGAACCGAAACCAAACAACAGTTCATTTCCTCTTAGCATTACAGGCAACCAACAGGTTCAACAAAATCTATCACTACTTTCCAGTAAGTGGACATTCGTTCCTGCTCTGCGACCGAGATTTCCGATGTGCAAAACGGAATTTCAGAAAACATGGCCGAATTTACACTCCAGAAAAATATGAGAATTTAATAGTGACTTCCAGAAAAAGGCAACCATTTACTGTGAAGCGAATCCAACACACTGACATTACTGATTTTAAGAACTGGTGGCCTAATTACAATAAAAAAAACGTGTAGCACTGGAGGCACCGGTTCCAATAAGGAAACATTTGCTGTATCAAACGATCCTCAGTTCCTGTATGAAAGTGCTAATCCAGGATATGTTAAAACCTGGGAATATATAGATGGTTTACACTCCCATACTTTTAAATTACTCAAACAACGTAAGCGCAACCCACCTCTGCCCAATAATAAAGCATATCAAGGACCAGTACCAATTAATGAAAAAAAAAATGCGCATCAAGAAGGTAATGAGGTATACCCACTGTGAAGTCTTGGAATTCTATTACCACATCACATTATGGAATACAAATGCTGAAAATGATGATTGAGATGTCTGTTTTGATAACGTATTTTCTTTGTCCTGAATAAACATTAAAAAAACCCACAAATATTCATTAGTTTTTTTTATATAGCGGGTTGAATTAAAAAACCGTAATAGTCCATCCCCTCTTTTTATTTGCGATTCGTAGTGCATTTTATTTTTCGAAAAACTACCATTAAAAAAATATGTCGACTAGTTTCAATGTTAAAAGGTTTTTATTGATTTTCTGGCAACGCTGATTTTGGACTTGTATGGTTTTCACCGATTCAATTGTAGAGTGTTACCTATCATTATTTAATAATAATATGTATTTTATAATAAAGTTTGCGTTTGTGATGGTCAATTTACATATAACCCTCTTCAAGGAATACGATACAAAGCGATTCCGGGATTCCCAATAATAATATCGACTCCATTTGGTTCCCAGAACGACGCGACGGCGACGTAACGCACAATATAAATAAATATATATTTCATGCTATTTTTAAAATTATTTCGGTCAATCGACCGATCAATTGACACCAAAAAATTTGACTGGTCAATTCCACAACCCTGGTCACATATGATTTAATAAAAGCAATGGGAAATTTTACAAGTGAAAAGGATTAATCTATGGAGAATGGGGTGTTCTGATTTGGTTTTTATTGATTTTCTGGCAACGCTGATTTTGGACTTGTATGGTTTTCACCGATTCAATTGTAGAGTGTTACCTATCATTATTTAATAATAATATGTATTTTATAATAAAGTTTGCGTTTGTGATGGTCAATTTACATATAACCCTCTTCAAGGAATATGATACAAAGCGATTCCGGGATTCCCAATAATAATATCGACTCCATTTGGTTCCCAGAACGACGCGACGGCGACGTAACGCACAATATAAATAAATATAAATTTTATGCTATTTTTAAAATTATTTCGGTCAATCGACCGATCAATTGACACCAAAAAATTTGACTGGTCAATTCCACAACCCTAGTCACATATGATTTAATAAAAGCAATGGGAAATTTTACAAGTGAAAAAGATTAATCTATGGAGAATGGGGTGTTCTGATTAATTTCTTCATCTAACGATACATTTTTGTGTAAAAATACTAACTAACTTCATAAACTTAGACATCCAAAATATTTAAGTATACCGAACTTTACAAAAATATTTTAGTCAGAAATAGCAGTATTTCTTGAGGATTACTTCAAAGAAGACTGAAAATACGAACGCATTAGACATTTATTTATTGAAAAAAGGAAAAAATCTCAATTTTCTATTTAATTTTTTGCTACTAGATCAATAAGTAACGAATGTCAAAATGAAAATTAACAATTTTCCTTATGACATGGAAGTCGTTAAAAATAATAATAAATAACTTTACTAATGAAAAGAAACTTTTTTGCCGATTACATATACATTAGTGATGAACATGAAATGATTAGTAGATACCCTGGATATACAAGATTGTTACCGCCAAAAATAATCAAAATATATCAGAACTACCTAGCGTTTTTTCTGAACACTTTTGCCGAAACTAAAAGAAAAACGATAAAAGAAACTCTAACACACCGGTTTACATTGCACCCATCTCTAGAAAAATTGTTGAATATTGCTTTCCGAAGAGATTACTGTTTCTAATGTCAAACTGCAATACTCTCAGCGCAACATAACACGGGTTTCAGTGTAAAAAGTCAGACTTCTTGTTAGGATATTTTTACAATTTCAGACGTCTGTACCCATATATTTAAAAAGAAATATTTGTATAATAGGAGTAACGACATTCATGCTATGAACTGCAAATGACTGCAAGGAGTAAAAATGACTTTAAAACATCGCTAAGGGCGCTAAGAACAGGCAATAAAAGTCCTGCCGATATAATATGTTGTCAAATGCTATTAAGAATACCCTCAGTTTGACCAAATTAAAAAAAAACTAAATTAAATTATGTTCTCGTGTCTGGTATAGTTTTTAATACTCCTCGTCTTGTTTTTTTTTTATTATTTCATGAAATTCAGATTTTATAGAAAATTTGAGAACTGAGTATGAAAGATGTATACCAAAGAGAACAATTCGTATTATTATCTCATTGTGCACCTGTGACATCAAATCTTCGCAATTTATGTTAAATTTAGAAATTGTTTAAAACAAATTTACAGATATCTATAATATGGCACTTTATGTCTGATTGAATAATACATAGTCGGTCCCAGAATAAGAAATATTATTGGTCAAAGTTGTTGAAAAATTATTTTAAAATTTCCAAAAGTGACGCTGAATTTCTTTAGTCATATCAGTAATATTACTCGCACCTACCTGAAAGTTCACTCTTCCGGACAGGACGGTCAACAACGTTGATATGCCGTCTACGGATACAAATGCAAAACGATACTCATCTATTCGGAGCATCATTTGCAGGCACCTAGCCACCGACTGAATGTACTCATTATTCTATATTTAAAAAACAAAAAAAAATTACGCCTGAAATACATTTTGGCTTATTCGATAGAAAGATTTCATCTTTAACCTTTCAATTGAAAATGTACTTATACAGTGAACACAGTAACCCACTTCACGCATGCAAGATACATCGATACTATAACCAACATTTACATACCTGAATTTTGCCCGGTATCGTGTCTAAAGTTATATAAGGATCATGCTTTCTGGATTCCCTAATATAAAGGTTTTTAAAACACAGAAAATTTTTATCTAAATAAAAACAAATACACAATAATCAGTTCGTAAAGGCTGCGGGACACTGGTTTGTATCACATCAGAGTTTTTTGATTCTCAAATTTTTATTATCGATTGCCTTTTTAATACATATTTAATTAAATTTGTTACATATTTTTATTTTTCATTGCCTATGAAACACACGATTGCGATTTTTTTTCCAAATTCAGGCGCGAGTTTGAGCAAAATTCAGAAATCCAAAAGTTTATGTTTTTCTCAAAATTAATTTAAAAAGTTATCAATAACATCTTCACATTATCTATTTTTTTTATGAAAAAACTATTAAAAAGCTAAAATATTTGCCCCAAAAATGACCATATAGTTCTGATAGTAATTTTATCGCAAAGCTTGTCCAATACCTCCGAAATTTATTATGAGCAGCAGACCCTGATTCTGCGGTTAAAATTTGATTAACTTAATTTTAATTTTAAATTTTAATTACGTTTATCTGTTATTGCATTTACTGATTAATTAAAAAATTCAAGATATGTGCAATTAATCTTCTAATCCACATTTATAGAAGTTTCAGTATTATTTATGAATCCCCATTTCTACGCTGTAAAGTAAAAAGCTAAAAAATTTTACAGAATAAACACACCAATACCACTTTCCACTTTAACCAACTTTGCCATCATAAACGGCATTCTTTATAATTTTTGGGGGGAAGGTCAGCATAGTAATCGGCTATTCCCGCAAAAAAAGCAGGTATCAATGTGTTCTAGTAAAATTCGACGGATGACATACCGTTTTTACAACCTTTTATGGTTTTGACTGGGGAATGAGTTCAAGACCCCCCTGTTGTAAACCTGAAGGGACCATTCTTTTCAGCACATGTACCAGGGCCGTATTTACGATTTTAGCCGACAAGAATTGTGCCGTGCGTGTTATATTTTAAGAATAGGGAAATTTTCTTTGATTAAACTTATATATTAATTCATATTAGTGTTTTTTATAAATCTTCCTAAAACCGTCACTACTCGAGGTAGCTCAATTTCAAGTTGAATTTGCCCATTAGATAGATTGATCTCTTATATTAAAAACACAAACTGATTTCCAATTCAAGCGTTTAACATAATGACTATAAAATATTTTTCTAGGGGACGAGGCCAGTGACGATAGTGATTATTTTTATGTAGAATAACTTTTTTTTAATAAATATTCTAAAATTGTTTTGTGGCTAAATTTACTTTTTCATTTATATTTATAAAAAAGATTTTAAGGTAAGAATAGATTTTTCATTACATGGATTAGTAATAATCGAATAATCTCAGCCATGAAGTACCGATGTACGGTTTTGGCATGTCATTATGGAATTGGGAATTTATTTATTGAGGGTACAAAAAGAAACGGAAGGAAGGTAGGCCTGCGGTTAGACCTTCATAAAAATTTACCAAAGTTAAATACCGGATTATGTCGTAAAAATGGTATATCGTTAAGCGAATTAGAATGAGATCATTCCAGGCCCACTTTTGACCAATGCAAAATTAACTTTAAAATAAAAACGGCACCACTTATTTATTCAAAAACTGCGGCAAATTGGGACCCATATAGAGTCAACATAAAAAAAGGCACCATCATTTTTTTTATTACTTTTTAAAAATTCTATTTTCTATTCTATTTTATTCTAGTCATCTACAGTCTCTACACATTCATTTCAAAAATTTATGTTTTTGGTTTGGGATCAAACTTTAACCACAAAACATTTTAGGAGAATACCAGATAGCGATGTTCCATGCAAAAGTGTTGTCAATTTGTGCAATACTGGTCACATTGAAAACAGTTTGTTAGTTGTGTAGTGGATTTTAGGTCGACCGAGATTGTTTTTACAACAAAAATAAACCTATAAACTGAGCAAAATCGCAAATTTGCAGCCCAAAATCCACTCGGTATTAAACTATCAAATGTGTTAATGTATAATACCGATATCTCGTTGAACGAGCTGGCCTGCTCGTCGAAACGATTTTCCGTATAGTGTTCGGTGGTGTCTCCCTTAAGCATATCTGGCTGTTGAGCAGCGAGCGAGTCGTACTAAAATCCGGACAATTTCTTTTTGTGAATCGTGTCTTTTTTGTAACAAGTGAACGTGACTCGTGTGTTTGAGTATGGCACGACCCGCAACCTATGAGGCGATTGGAAAGCGAACACGTGACTGAATGAATGAGGAACGTTTACGAAAAAATGCACCTCTTCAACTTGCTGGATAAGTGAAACTTTGGATTTTTGAGATATACAAAAATATATCAATAACCAAGCTCGAGAATAAGCCCCTCCTTAGGGCTGGATGTGGGTTTAGTAAATACAAACAAAAAAAAACACAAAACATAGAGAGATGTCGATTTTGTCTTTACAGTAGCCAATAACAATGTGGATAACTGAAAATCTTAAACTTATAAGATCCGAAATTGTAGGCATTAACCATCTTCTTAAAACCTACATTTCAAAAGAACACAGAAGATCGCTATAATTGCATTATGGCTTGTAACACATTTGCAATTTTCTTCATAAAGACAAAAACAACTTGTTAACGATAGAAGAAAGAAACACAGAAGAAAAACACAACACAAAACTTTACCGAAGGAAACAAAAGTAAATTGAAATTTGGCCAATTTTTTGTACCTCCTGAGCGACTCTGGTGGCATCAGCTAAGGACATCCCAAACAGTATGGAGTTCGCGCTTTGTATAATGTTGTAACAACTCTTTTTCTCTTTTTTATGTAGCAGTTTTGAACAGGAGAGCTTATTCTTTATCTCCTATGGGAACAATGGTATGCAAGGGTACATTTTTTGCAATGAAACAAATGACAACATATTTACAATTCCGATTGTCCTTGATAGTGACATTTCCTGATATTTAACTGTTTATCAATTACTCGTTCTTTAAGGTACAATACAAATAATATATCGCTAATTTTGTACCCAAATTTTATACTATTTTTTTAATATCCAATTAAATATATATTAGCCAAATTAGTATATAATATGTACAGTGTAATGTAAGAGTCAGTTGTTAGTTAAAAGTGCAGTTAGCCATAGCAAAAGCGATAATTCTAAGCGTTAAACATGCAGCAAAGAAAAAAAAGTAAACTACCTATAAAACGTCATAAAAACAAAAAATTATTTCAAAAATAATAACGACCTTAATGGTCAAATTTGTAATACCTGAGATTTTAATTGATCTTTGAGCCAGGTCAAATAAAAGTGTAAATCCGACCTTTCCATTGGGGTTTGTGACCAGCAAGCAATTTTTGCTATAATTCTGGATGTCATGTTTGTTATGAAACCATCTTGTCTATTGAGGAGATTTAAAAAAGGACCCCAAACAGATTCCTTTCGAATCCTAGCATATTCATGAAAAATTTCCACCCTGCTACGATCCTCCTGCAAGTCAATGACGAGTTGTAACTAATATTCAATTATCCACAAATTATATAGTATGAAATAATTATTGACAGACGCTAACCTGTAACATATCATCCACCAATACAAGGATATACTGCAATGTTTGGTCTTTAGAAACATGTCCCAATAAATTCAATAGCGTCTGAGCAGCTTGCTTAGAGTCTCCTTTCAGTAACGCCTCACGTTGTTGACTATCATTGACATCAAAAGCCACAATAAAATTGTAATCTTCTTGGGAAATCATGCGTGACCTAGACGTTTTGTTTCAGAAATATTATTTAAAACATTGTTAAAACTTACTGATAATAGGATTGCCAGTTAACCTTTTGGTTGCGGATATCCGTCGCTTTGTGCTGCAAAACACTAGTTGCTGCTAGCATGTCTGAAATAAATTGCATATTTGGAAAATGGGAATTATCCAAACCTTATCCTTCAGCCGAAACACTCCACGTAATTGTTAAAACTAGTTTAAGCTGCTCAACGAAATCCAAAAATAGTTTTCATAATCCAAATACATCAACTTTTTGAAACCGCTGGTATATTATCATAAACAGAAAGAAAATAAATGTCACGTGAGGCGAAGCCTGATCATACACGCCTTGGTTTAATTAAAAACCCGATTAATTAAAATAAAACGAAGTGAAAAAGTTTGTGAGAATTAAAAAAACTGTAAGAGGCAATCGTTCGTTAAAAGAATGTTGGAAAGAAGTAGACGGGTAAAAAACACGAAATCTTAAAATATAAAAAAACGGTTTACCAATTTTGTCATCATCTAGCGATGTTATTATATCCTTGATTTTAGGGTCCGTTGTAGATAAGTTTGTTGTAGCCATTATTCCTTAATTGATTGTAACTTGGATTCTTCGGGAACTGGTGTACGATACACCCACAAAAATAAAATTTTGTCGAAGTTGAATGAAGTCTTGTGATTATTGACGTAAGCTGCCAACCACATGATTCGATAAACTTCACTCTCCCCACGTAAAGAACGAGGACAGAAGATTGCATAAACGGAACAACCTGCTTTTAAGCGCGAAATTCAAATTTTTAGATAATGGAACTTACCGAACCCAAACCAAAAAGAAATTTCAAAATACACATGAATACCTCTCTTCCTATAGTTCTTAAGAAGGACGGATCTTTACATGAAATGACAGGAACTTTTAACGAATTTTCCGTTTTAGTAGAATGTGAAGCAGATGCAAAAAATCTAATTTCTAGAGGTTATTTCGGTAAAGCAAATCTATCTAGAAGTTATCCTCAATTTGTGACGAAACCTGAGCTACTACGTAAAAGGCAGTTCCAAACGAGAACAAATATTTCAACCTCTTTATCCCTGGTAAACAACATTAAAATCATACCTGACAAAGTAATTGTTGTCCCAGATAGTGAATCAGATGATGAGTATTTTACAAACGTTAAACCAGTCTACCATATGGATAACTCATCATTACGAGAAAAACTATGGCTAAGTTTAGAGGAAGCTTTTTTTTTAGCCAGTGCTCTGAAATGCCTTACTGTGTATTTTAATGATAAAAAGTTATCTTTGAAAGATATGTGGAAATTATTTTCCAAACAACATTATTTTGTTCGTAATTATATTGTTTACTTTTACTACAGATCAAAAAACTGGATTGTCAAACCAGGGATTAAGTTTGGTGGTGATTTCTGTAAGTCAGTATATTTTTAAAACAATTTTTTGAATTCTTGGCTTTCAGTACTTTACAAACAAGGTCCTCCATTTTACCATGCTAGTTATGTGGTTATCATTGAAGTTATAAAAGGTGAAGAGGACAGCGACAAGTCAGCTAGGAACATTGATTTATTTGGCTTAAATCGCTTGTGTGAAACTGCAGCAAAGGAGTTAATAATTTGCAAGCTTTTCTGGGCAAAGGAAAATGAAGTTGATTTTAGTGACTTATCAAGCATAAAAATTTTAGAAATATTAGTTAGGAGATGGAATCCTACACAAGAAAGGTTGGGAATACCTAAATAAAACACTTTTTATACTAATTGATAATAAAAGTAATTAATTCATCCCATTCTTTTCAATTGTTGAGATATACCAGTGCGCCTATATTCAGTTCTTTCCTTAAGGTATTCTTGTTTACAATGCTCCTTGAAGTCCTCATCATTATACCATTTAGTTAAACAAGCTTTTAAGTTTGCATTTTCTTTTCTACATTGTACTACCATCAGCAAACCTGTACTTTTACAACATTCTGTAAATTTGGCAACTTCTGGAACACATTTTTCTGTCCTTGCTATTTCTCTCATTTTTTTCGGTACTAGAACATCAATTTCCACCTTTCTGAGAGATTTATCATTTGGATCGCCTAGAAAATAGTTGACTGCTTCAAAAGTTAGAGAAAAGGAAAATCAAAACCTAAGCCCTTGGGACCTCCTCCCAATGTTGCTTTTACGACGGAGGCATTGCTGTTTCCCATTGGCTTGTTTATTTTAAATTTTGTAAAATATAACTTTATATATATAACACATTATCCTAGCAAGGCCGTTTTTAAACTATTTTTGGCCGTGCACTTCGTAAGGTTATGACATATACCTTCTTCTTTTTTTGCTTGTATGGCCATGATTTACGACGAACCATTTTTCAAACTTATTTTTCACTCAGAACACTAAGATTAATTGGGCAAGATTGTAGGATGATTGGGCGATTGTGTGATTAATTACTTTTACCACATTTGGACATTGACATTACGATCATTTTGCCAATATTCGCTGAAAATTTATTTTTATTTTTCTTTCTCAATTTAACAGGGGTAATAACTTAGTTATCGCGTTTCTGACTGTTACTTTGTTAAGCGTTGTATAACGTGGATAGTGGATATAATCAATCTGGACCATGTGAATTGTGTGAAAACGCAATCGTTCAATATTTCAACAGCAATTATTACGTGAGTTAGTTCGAATGACATCGACTTGTAATATTGTATTAGTATTAATGTTATTATTAGTATCAGTATTATTTGTTACTTAAATAATTCGATTTTGTCCCACGTAAGTTCAGCTATTCCGAACTACCATGGACCACTAATGTCAGAAATGATTAGTTTTTCTGGTATTGAACATAACCAAAAAAAAATCATGGGCAGAGAACAGGATTACTCCGTTGATGATTCTGCATTTTATTTTTGACATTTATCAAACAAAAGTATTTGCATAGGTAGAATTGTAACTATTAAAGTTTTTGGGGACTAGGGCTTACGGTGCTTAAATTTCGAAAAATAGTTAGAATTGATTTTTGATTTGGCTTCATTGTAACTACTTAAATTCTTGAAAATGGATCGATTGCTTCGCCTTGGTGGAGGAATGCCCGGTTTGAGTCAAGCGCCGCCCCCATCAGATGCTCCAGTGGTAGATACTGCAGAGCAGGTCTACATATCTTCGTTGGCTCTCTTGAAAATGCTAAAACATGGTCGGGCGGGCGTACCTATGGAGGTTATGGGTCTTATGTTGGGTATGTATTCGAAAGTCATAACTTAAGATGGTCCCTAAGCATCTATTAATAGGAGAATTTGTCGATGATTATACGGTACGAGTAATAGACGTTTTTGCCATGCCCCAGACTGGTACCGGTGTTAGTGTTGAAGCAGTAGATCCGGTATTTCAAGCAAAAATGTTGGACATGCTGCGGCAAACTGGAAGACCAGAAATGGTCGTGGGTTGGTACCACTCTCACCCTGGATTTGGTTGTTGGTTATCTGGGGTCGATATTAACACCCAGCAATCTTTTGAAGCTCTCTCTGAAAGAGCTGTGGCAGTTGTAGTTGATCCAATTCAATCAGTTAAAGGAAAGGTTGTGATTGATGCATTTCGGTAAGAATTTTTGACCCTTCAAATTTTTATTTTTTTTTTAATGCATATGTTTTAGTCTTATAAATCCAAATATGATGGTTTTGGGCCAGGAACCCAGACAAACAACTTCTAATTTGGGACACCTTCAGAAACCATCAGTACAAGCTTTAATTCATGGCTTAAATAGACATTACTATTCTATAAGTATTAATTATAGAAAAAATGAGCTGGAACAGAAAATGTTACTTAACTTGCACAAAAAGTCATGGATGGATGGTCTCACTTTGGCCGATTACTCCGAGAATTGTAGTGTAAACGAGAAAACTGTGGGTGAAATGTTGGAACTGGCAAAGAATTATAACAAGGCGCTTGAAGAAGAAGAAAAGATGACTCCTGAACAACTGGCCATAAAGAATGTCGGCAAACAAGATCCGAAAAGGCACTTGGAAGAAAAAGTTGATGTTTTGATGACTAATAACATTGTGCAGTGTTTGGGTGCTATGTTGGACACAGTTGTATTTAAATGATCTATTTTATTATGGGGTGTGTTTGTACTATGATTGTGTTTAACATTTAAGGTATTTTTCAATAAATTCTTTGTTTCCTTATATGAGGCTATCCAATTTTTTTTTATTTTCTTCGCGAGTTGCTTATTATTATAAAGTGGCATTTATAACCTAGTAGGTAATATTTTTTTCTCAAAGTTTTTTATGAGATAATGTTTGTAAAAAAAACCTTAGTTATTTAGCATGCAGCTTAGCAGATATTTTAATAATTTTATTAATTTAATTTTCAAGGCACTATAATTTATTAAGCAGTAAATATTTTATTTAAAATTTGTCTTTTTTTTCTAACTTTGCAAGTATCCCACACTTGCCATTAGGATTATCAAAATAATGGTTTCAGAAAGTTCGGAAAATATATTTTAAGAACTTCCACAAAAGCTTTAAAAATACATTGCTGAGTGCATTAAAATATCGAATGATGGAGAGTGCGAAAAGTGTCACTATATTCCTGTTTCCAGTTGTGGTATTTCACTTTCAGCGCCGTGCTAAACCATATTCCACAAAAAACACACCGGTAACTGATACATCACAATTTGTTGTCAAAAGCGTCAGCACCATCCAACGGATGGAGTAACCAATTAAACCCTTTTTATAATAAGTCGGTAAAGAAATCTTTTATTTTTAAGAATGTTTTGTCTATTGGATTAAACGAGCAAAAAGTTTTAAATTTAACTTTAATTTACATCGCTCAACAGGATATTGAAAAAATGAAGAAATGATTTTTTTGTAGACTACTTTATGATGGCTAATAAGGGGAAATACAATAATTTATATACATTTTTCCACATGTGTGATTTGATAGTATAGGCATATAACAAAATAAATAAACTAATATAGTAAATATATGTTACACAAGTACATGCAACAAAAAATAGAGGATGATTCAAAAGTAAGCCTAAACCTTCCCATTAACACGTATTCGGATACTTGCTGGAAGGTATTTTCAAAGTCTTTTGTATATCTATAATTTTTTCAATTTCTTTACAAATATGACTCACTCTTTTAAGTTACCGACTTCCGAGACAGTTTCTCTAGAATGCGGTAATAACAAAGTTGAAAAAGCCGTTTTCCGTAAATCATAGTCTTCATAAGATATGTATTTTTCTGGTTGAATGCATCAGCACAACCAGAAACCATACATTTTCAGTATCATAAGCGTTCATTATACTTTAAACACAAAGCTCACAATAATCCACAAACCAGAAGAAAAAAAAACGAAAATTACACAAGTAATTTCACAAAATTCAAAACAGCCTCAAGTGCCATCTCGTGGTACGTGTCGAAACAAAATGCAGTCTGATTATCTGGTTGCCTAAGAACATATTTATTTATAGACAAACTGCAAGTTTCTCATATTATATTTTGGGTATGTAAAAGTTCACGAGCGGAATTATTTTTGCTTCTTTATCTATCCATCGCGAGCCACCGTAATTTTTTTTCAATATGCAGTTACGATCTATTCCATACTATTATAAACTGTTTAGATCCTGGTTCCGACATTTTCGTAATATTAACGCACGGGTTTGCGAGAAATCGCATGTTTGTCAATTCTGACGGTCATGTCGGAGAATGTATTCATGTTGTTTTGCAAAAATGTTTCCAAAAACTAACGGATGTAGACAAAGTATAGTATACAACACATTTGGTAAACTTTTGAAGTCACTCGTTTATTAAACACTCGCTCGTGCCAAATAAACCAACCTGCTGTTTACCACACTCGTTGCATAAAGTGCGGTAAACGGCATTTGAGTAAGGAGTTTATCTGGTACTAGCGAAGCGGAACGAGTGTTTAATAAACGAGTTACTTGAAAAGTTTGCCAAACGTGTTGCATACTGTACTTTTTTTAAGACTGTTAGTTTTTTTATACATTTTTGCAAAACAACACGAATAAATTTACTGACATGAGCGTTCAGAATTGACAAACGTAAAAATTGAAGCCCTACAATAAAATCTCCGGAAACATCCGAAGTGGCTCGGATCCGTGGAACAAGAAACCGCGTGGTAAAGTGACGCTTTCCGCACTCCCAATCGGTGTATAATTAGGTATTTTACAGAAAGCAGTGGAAAAAATAATTTAGATCATCTCCAAACGGCTCAGTTTTTTGACGAATATGAAACCAAGCTTCCGTAATTAATGTCTTCTACGCGGTCATTGAGAATGCGAAAAAACCGGTAGCTAATGCACCCAAATGTAATAAAACAACAATAAAAAACATAGAATAATGCTCCATTTATTTACTGCATATCCAACATTTAATAGGTGTATAATAGTTAACACGTAGTCTTAAAAAGATACTTGACTGACTGACATTTTATAATTTATGCCTTAATTCGCTAAGGAAGTCCCACCAAATTCATACAACGATAAACTTGTCACAAAAATATAGGTACGTACTTAAAATACATGAAGAGTAACATTCATAAAATTTGGATTTAAAGTTTAACTGTCGTTTTAGGCCAAAGTGGTTCCATATATTTTAAAAGCTTTGACCCACCACAACAAATATATGCAATTATGACGATCAGTACCTGCTGGATAGATGATTAAACTGCGTAATTTGTTTATAACACCAAACGACGATAAACTGGAACGTTAAATTTTGATTGGTCCTTCTGATTATTAAGGACCTTGGACAGCGTGTTAAAGTCATTCTCGTTCGGACCGTTCAAATAGCGGAGCATCCTGGTAGGATCGCTGCTGCGTTTCTTCGTCGCCAGAAACCTGTAGAAATTTAAGATATCATTGAGAACAAAAAAATAATTCTAACGAGGAAGTTTACCTCTTTTTCTTGTCGTACTGTTGCCCGTTATTGTCGTAGTTTGGTATGTAATTGGGGCCAAAATCATTATCCATAGTAGCGTGGGGGTAAACTGGGACGTCATACCAAGCTTCGCTGTTGTCTTCGTCAGACTGGTCGCCCAAGAATGCGTTTTTACCGTATCGCGTCCAAGGTTGTCGATAGTTCTCGGTTTCTGGACTCTGGCGGTTGTTCTCATATAAGGTTAAAAGTGTCAGTACTTCTTCGGGAGTCAAATCAATGTTCCTTTTCAACCTGCAAAAGGTTTACGGACATTTTAAGTGTCCGTTTAAGTTTCTGACCTCATATTGCTAGCACACCTTTCATGTCGAAAAAAGAGACATATTTATTGATAAAAATCGAAATCACTGTGTGCAATTATTTTCTGTGTTAAGTATAAGGCATCCGAAATTTGATGTCTCCTATATACAGGGTGTTATTTAAATGACACCATATAATTTCATAAATGAATCTCATGTTCTACAAATAAACGGAAAAAATACTCGTTATAATTCGCATGGTATTCCGGAAAAATTGCTTCAAAAATTCGACATCACGGTGGAGTACAGATTCACTAATTATAGTGACGGTGATGACAGATCCTATTGAGGACCATTGAAGGGACATATTTCTAATGTTTTTAGTATTGGACTATTTTTTTATTAGACATTTTGGATATTTCTGCTACTTTGTAAGTTACATATATCTATATTGCGATAGTAAAAATAATAAACCATTTTGATTGATGTTTTTTTATGTAGAATTCATTGGCATGCACAAAATATTTTTCTATTTTATTTACATTTAGTAAAAGTTTGTGATACACCATTGAAAAGAGGAATATTAGAAACATTTAATTTAAAAAATGTTTAGATTTTTAACAGAAATTCAAAGCAATATTTTTTCGGGACAGTCAACAGATTTAGAATCTTCAATACGGACCCGGTTATTTTTGCATAATTTACATATATCCGTTTTACATGCTTCCTATGTTGGTTCAATTGAATCTTAATTTTAATTAAATATTAACTTTCAGATTTTTGGTAATGCAGTAATGCAGTCTGTTATGTTTTCTATTGTTTTATGTTTGCTGATAACCTTATAACATTATTATATATTCGGAATCATATATATTGTCACAAAATATAATTTTTTAGATGAAGCAGTTTTGTTGTTATTTCGTATTTGGCTTATCTTTGTCAACAGAAACAAAGATATATCTATAAAACTAGAGTTTAGACAAACCTAAATTTTTAATGCATTGAATTAAAGGTAACTAAATGGAAAAACCTTCATTTTCTGAATTTAACTACGAACGGAAATACACTTGTCACTACGTCCGATCTTTCAATATTTTATATCGAGTTTGGATCACCAAATTTTTATCAAAACAAAGATACAAAATTCGAATTCATTTGTCACAAATTAGATGATACACTCGAATTCATTGAAGGATTTGTATTGTCCACAGGATACGGTACTTGCAACCGACAGACATTTTAATTGCTCACTTTTTCTGTACCATGTACCGGTACGCATATAGTCACTATTGAAAACCATGATGATCGGATAAATAAATAGAGGTAATTACTAGGTTTGTTCCAACCGCAGTTGAGTGACACGAATTTACAGTTCCAAACCGGTTTCTGACTGAGGTTGGAACAAAGCTATTGGGGCGTCAATTGCGGTAAATTGGACCACTAATTATGGTGTTGGGTGTGGGGTGTGACTTCTTATTATATTTGATACTCAACAATTGTGTCTAAAGTATTTAAGATTCTGACAGTAACCTAAGTAAACAAAAATTTTAATTGAAATTTTATTTCTGTTAAAATATCTTTCATAATGAAAGTTTTTAAAATCGCCATTTTATCTGGCAGTCCAAAAGATACAAACGACATTTAAAATCTGATTAATGCATTTTCCCCATAATTTAAAAGACCCAGTAGCATTATTTTTCGTACACTGTAACTATGTTGAGTGCTTCCGATAACATATAAAACGACATAATTGACTTAAAATGTCAACTCTGGACCAGAAAAATAAGCCTTCGAACCGTAAACGTAATTAATTTCAGACACGGCAAAATTTAATTACACGTTATTATGGGTCGGCGAGACATTATTATTATTACGCTACGTTTAAAAGTGCGATTGACTCGTATCACCAGAGAAGACGGTTTTAAAATGGTTTACCCCATTTGGTAAAACTTTCAGACGAGAATAATTTTTTTCGGATTGTTGAGTTTTAAGGTTTCGCCACTTAATTTTCTGCACCGCGAAGCGTACGAAAGCTTTCCTGACTTTCGAGTTCAATAAAAATTCAAATCCGTGCTTTCTGAAAGCTGTTTTCGCTGCAAATCTGAAATACGAGCAATATTAGAATATTATAGTCGGAGATAGACTCCGACTATATGTTTATCTTTGTCTAGTAAGGTCTGCTCATAGATATAGCAAAGTGACTAACTGATACGAATTAAGGAAAGACCCGGGCAAGCTGTAAGAATGAAATATGGCCGAACAGGTCTGTACTTTGCTAAGAATTTAATTATTTGGGGTTTTATTAGGAAAGATACTAAACAATATTAATTTATAAATGTATGTATTTATGTTTAAATATAAAATAAAATTATATTTTTTTTATTACCTACTTAAATTACTTAAAATTATTCACATAGTATATCAATATCACTGATATACTATCATCGCCTGTTCTAATTATTATTTGTTCTAAATTATTTGCAATATGCATTTACGATTGTTCTGCTTTTTCTATATGTTTAACAGAATTTGCCCAACATTTTGGATGGATGTTAAAAAGTTCGGTTTCTATACATTTGAGGACATTGGAGTTAACACGGGGAAAAACATAGTACGACGAATGGCAGATTTCAGTCGGTGCCAAACATGTTCAATTTGATTAAATATATAGTGGTAAGGTGGAAGCCTTAAAACTGTATACCCTAGATTTTTTGCATAATTATCACAGACGTTTTCCTTTTGTAAGTTCAAGATTTGTAGAACCTCAAATAATTGCTTTTTGGTATAATCTTCGTGAAAATAAATGTCGTTATTATACATGTAGTTTTGGATTTTTGCTTTTGTGTCACATGAGGAAGGGGTTTTAGTCAACTGTCTACTGTGATAACTTGCATTGTCCATTACAATTACACTATTAGGAGGAATGTGTGGAACTAGTTTGTTTTTAAACCAACTTTCAAATAAATCAGCGGTGGTGTCTTCAGGGTAATCCAGACAAGAATCTTTAATATTTTTCGCAGACAGAGAAAGTCCATTTGGAATCCAACCAAGAAATATTGGTCTTTGTTGTTCTCTGTAAATACTATTTTCTTCTAGATATTCCAGTCGCCATTTCGGAATTCTAAAGGATTCCATTAAAACTTGACTTTTGTCAATTTTTTTAAATCTAAAACCATGTGTTGAATACACTTACATAAGGTAGTTCTGCCATATTTAACACCGATTTCATCTTTTCAATTAACATATCTAATGTAGGCGCGCTTTGTTCCTCGTATAACTGGTAAAATTTACACCGTATTATATTTAGATCACTTTCATCTACACTCGAGAAAATATCAGCATCGCTTCTTTTTTTCCTCGCTGAAATGGGATTATTCACAATTTTCCATACAGTTTATGTTGGAATTTTCGTCAATGTGGCCGTTTCTTCTAAAGATGCTTGCTTGCTGGCACCACGTTCAATGAGAGTCAACTAAACATTGTTTATAACTTCCTTAGTCTCAATAGAATAGTGTTTTCTACATTTGGGCGGGAGCATCTCCGGAGATACACTAGACTCTCACATATTTTGCATAATTTGTACACGATTCAACACACGCTGTATTACACACTAAGTAAGAATGATTACTAATAAACTTAAACTATAGTAGTATACCAAACTAAGGAATATTAAACACAGGTAGCTATAAAATTATTTTCTATTACGGACCACAATTTTACCTGTATTTAAATTCCGAAACTTTAGGTAATAATCTTGTTGTATTGTATGTTAATGACCACCCTTGGATAACTTCATTCAAAAGCAATTGGTCACTTTCTTATATCTGTGAACAGACATTACATGTCAAACAGCGGTGACAACAATTTTTCAGAAACGTTGGTATATCACTGGTAGTTACCACTAGGTAAAATTTTATTGAATGAAAGCGAAGTTTGAAATAAATCGCGTAGATTTTGTAAAAGCGTTAAAACATTTAATTAAAAAATATACATATAAATTTGAAAGTTATACAAATTCTTTGAAATAGTTAAACACTGCATTTCGCCAAAATAATTTTATTTATTATCATTTATTTCAATAGAAGAAAGTACAGTGCAGTAAAACTTAGATTTGAAACGTCATTAACAACGATAACATATAAAAACAATGAAAATGTTTAAAAATCGCCAATAAGCTTGATATTTACCTCCCCATCCAGATAAAATTCACGTAAATTGTACTGTAAGAATTTATTTATTTCAGTTGGCTCACTGGTCACTGTCACTGATACTATTTACAGTATGACATAGCATTCGAAACGGTGCAGTTAGTTAGTTTCAAAGACATTCTAAATCTCTGCCGAATCAAAATATCTGGCCCAGGCAAAAAGAAATAAACTTCTGCTAAATAATACTACCGATACTAATTTTGGAATATACTTTGGAATATACGTTATTTACAATCACAGAAATATATAAACCTTTATCACCTTCTTTATTAGAAGAGTTGCACAACTTTCACAATAACCCAAAATTAATAAAATATTTATAATTCGCCTTAACTAGCACTTAACACTGGCAATTGATTACATTCAGAAGAAGCCCGGGATTCTGGCTATGTTTTAATCTATTGATTCAATATGTTTTTGTTTGAAACGTTTGAAAATGTTTTGTAGATATCCATGCTGGAGCGAACGGTATTTTATATAATACTCAATATATTTCAATACATTTCATATAAGTATTTTCTGTCCCTACGCACTGCAAGCCGGAAGTGCTACTATTACAAATCATGCTAAAGTTCTAAAAAGTCTTATGAAGCTGGAGGAGTTTAATTTTTTTTTGTTTGAAATAACTAATCGAAACAATAGCTCGCCTCTTGCCTATTTTTTTATTTGTAAATGAAGGATTGGCAAAATTGTTTCAATAGGACGAAATGCCAAAATCCACTTAACAATTCTCAGCAGTTGGCTTTAGGGAATTTCCTGCGAAATAAGTTTCCATCTACTCGAAACCCTCAACAGATTCAAATCCACACGTGGTTTTGTTTCGAAGCGGATATGTAATTTCAGCCTAATGGTTTTGTGGGAATATCTTTTCACGATACTTGCGTTTGTTTTTCTTCTCTCTTAAATCGATAATTCCGGCTGGTCTCTTGCGGCGTAGCTAAAAGCTTTTCGCAGCGTCAGACGTGTACTCCGCTAATTATTTGGGTTATAGTCGGTCGGGAAAAAAAGCTATTAATATTAATCAGCAATTTAAATGCTTTCGACGAGCCGAAGTTACTGAATGATACAACGGGAGACGCTGTTAACTCTAACATAATGTTTATTTGTTTAATTTGTATTGAATAATTGGAAAGTTCACATTCTCAAATACAATCATAAACGAAAAAGTTTTTTACAATTGCGTATTTCAATTTTTAATTTCTTGGTGTTTTCAAAAAATAACCGATGACTCTGGCTTACCTTAATTTTCTTGCTTCTCTCTTCTTTCTTCGATCGTCGGGTCCGTAATACCTATAATACAGGGTCGTCGTAAAGTAATACAAATAGAAGTATTATCAAGCATAGCCTAATTTTTATAATACAGAAGAATACAAAATTTGAAACATTTTTTGCTTCATTCTCAAGACTCGTTTTTCTCTATAAATATGCAATAATATTTTTTAAGCTTTATAAATATTCTCTGCTTAAAGAAAATAATTTGATAAATGTTCATTTTAATTCACAACTCAGAGTCGGTTCTTCAGCCATACAAGTTTCATTTATCGGTGAATTTAGAAAAAAAAAACGTTTAAATATTGGTTTCTTAAAAACGGTCGATTTCAGAAATTAAACAAAGTAATAACTTATTTTCATAAAACGAATTTGGCGTTTTTTTAAATGGTTTTTGAGTTTTCTAGTCCAATAAACCTCTAAATTCAAAATTATGTGAAAGTGATTTTCTTAAACCCTGTGCGGTAATAGGGAGTTTTTGCACCTTTTATGTTGGCAATGTTTTACTTTATCCCTTATTGGAAGCGTGCGCACATGGTAAGAAATAACGAACAACAATAATAAAATTTAAAGTATAGGCGGGGTTGCCACTATAATACGTTAAAGTTCAATAATAGTAAATATTTTGAGTTTTGAATTTAAGAATATATTTTTTTTTAATGTGAGTGTGAGATTTCGTCACATTTGCGATAACTAAAACTTGAAAAATAATAATAATAAACAACCTTGTTCTAACCGTAACGCAAAGAAAATTTTACTAAAATTGTGCTATCTCAGGATTAGCGTTGTACAAAAACACCCCCTATACAAATAGTCATGCCTATTGAAAATTATGATGGTCGGATAAGTAAGTGGGGGTAATTATAATGGTGTCTGCCGCGGGAACGGTTAAGTGGACAATAATTATGTGTATTTTAAGCCGAAATACCCATTGGAATCACGCAAATTGAGTTTATTCTATATCTTTTAATTTAGTGAAAACTCCATAGCACTATTAACTAATAATGTAGGAAATTTGGTTTTCGAAAATTAAAAAAAAATATATTATTTTATTCTTGTGCCTATGAACCCCGGCGGGAGATTGGTTTTAATTAATGAACATGAAATTTACACCAAAGAAATGTATCAATAACTTTGAGCAAATTGCCTTCACAAGTCTAGTCAAAAGTAGAATTTCAGAATTTGGAAATGCGACACTTAAAAATATCAACAAATTTTTTTTTAAGGAATCTAATGTCGTGTAATTAGCGGACCGTGTAATTTAATTCAGGAGACCTTATTACAATGTATTATTATAACTATTGAATTATTGGGATTTATTTACGAAGTTCTTAAAGTGAAATTTGATATTAGTTTTTTGTGGAAATGTTATCTATGTGTTCTATTTTTTGTTGTTGTTTGTTGTTTATTTATTGCTTATTTGTAAAATAGTTTTATTTTATATTTTATCTATGTTTCATTCTCCATTATGTTGCGACAAAGTTTGTTACAAAAATATATACATATGCAACTGTTTTGTTAGTGTCCTGATGTAACGCATAATTTCTTTTTAAATAGCTAAAAGTATTTTTGCATTTAAAAATAAATATATATGACCTATAGTAATTTAATTTGTATTTCCCGCCATAGTTTTAAAACATTCAAAAGTCACAATAGTTCAAAAGAAAGCATTTAGCCAGCTGTTTCCACAGATTTTACACCATGATTTGTTGTTAATCTCTTGCGAGAGTGTTAAATATATTATAATCTAAACACTTTGTATATAGTAAGAGCTATATTTACCTATATTGGTTAATCGGATCGCCATAAAGCTCGCTTTTCAACACAGCGTTCTCTAAAGCTTCATCCAGTTTGTCCCGATTAGATCCGTATCGAAAAGCTTTCTCGTAATCTAGCAGGGTTTTGTCATCCGGGGACAAGTCCGGTGAATTGAAAAGACCAGACTGAACGTTGTCCATGTTATATTGATTGCCGCGAAATATGGGTTGATCTCTATCCCAGTCGGATAAAGGTAGATCTGTGCCTTGGATTTTCATGTTGACACCTACACAAAAATGGTAAGAAAATGAAAAACGGAAGGGTCGAGTTTTCGACGACTAACCATGTAGGATTTTAATTTTAATAGTATATTACCAACTCAATAGTTAGTTGAGGCACAAACGGAACGAGGCTCTGAAGCAGTTTAAAACGATTTAAATATTATACTTTTTCTACTACCCTTAGTTTTTGGGTACATTTGTGCAAAAATAAATAACCGGAAATGCACGAAGTTACTCGTGACAGTGTTTAAGGAAGCTAATTTAAATTTAAAATGAAACTTTTCACATCCGTAATGAGTGTATGGTTGTTTTTTTTTTAATAAACTAGCTTTAATAAAACACCATCTTTATTATCATAGCAAGACATTATTTAAAAAATTATTGGTTATTAGCTCAAAGTTGAAAATAATTTAATAATTTTAAGAAACGTCTTCATATTCACAGAATTTTTGTCTATTTGTGGCTCCACTCCCGTATGGGCAGCACACATTGCATGCCGTTAATTCCACCACTAGACCGTGCACTTATAATTTGCTCAAATAATTAAACAATTTAAAAAGAATATCTCACATAGCTCTGGCCCAACGTTTTGAACATCCGAAAAATCTTTGATCCTTTTAAGTGGTTCTGTCCGTTTTGAAATAAATCTAAACAGTTTAACAGTTTATTTTCATTTACTTGTTTGTTTGCATTGTAGTAATAAATTTTCAAATGCATATGCTTAATCGTGGAAAATATTACGTTAACGTTTTTTTAAACCTCGTTGATTTGAAAACTGAGCTACCATAAAAATTCCTACGGCTATTCGGTATGTAAATCATTTAGCTACAATTCTAAGCCCATTTTTGGGATTCCAAAATTAAACATATTTTTATATTTTCAAAATATGTGTATAAAAATGTTTATGTTTATATTTAATGCGCAGTTCCCAAAGAATTAAAAAATATTATCCGGTTTATCATTTTATGTCATACAATGTTATAATTAAAAATGCATAGCCGTCAGATATTTTGCGACCTCTATATTATCTAATAGCTATAGGGTTTGCAGAGTCAAGATAGCTTAGCTATATTTCAAGCGGCAATTTATTGACATTTATATCTCAAAATGTTTGTCTAAGTAAGAATTCAATATTTTTCAATCTCTAACACAAAAATTATTTTATCACCCCCAATCAAAACATAAAAGTGAAACAAAATATAAAAGAAAGTCCATCTCCCTTGTCGCGTTTCAGCGAGATCTATTTTCCTGTGACGTCACCTGGACCGTATTCTTGAGAAAGACAATTCTGGGTGGGCGAGGTTTTAGAAAAAGGTGAATTTCAATAAGTTTCCTAAAATTTTAACAATAGCCCATTGTAAGTAAAAAGCGTATTTTATTAACAAACAGAAAGGAGGCTAATTTTTCTATAGCATTTTTGCAGTTCAATATGACGTGTACCGTATGCGCTGATAAATTCATAGTGAACAGTAAAGTGATGATCGCATGTCAATACTGTGAAAAATATTTTCATACAGTCTGTGCTAAAGTAAAAGATATTATTGGTAAAAATGTTAATGAATGCAAAAACTGTGTGACGATTGCTGCGATGCTGTGGTATCAAACATACAAAAAAATTAAACCATCAAAAAATAAACGTTTTAATGTTATTGTTGAAACATCAGCTGATGCATTTAATTATTTGTTTAACCAAAACAGAATACTTTTTGGATGGGACACTTTCTCCGTATATGAGTATCTGAGCATTTTAAGATGTTTCAAAATTTTGAAATTGGGCTATATAGACATCAACTGTCGCCAGGAAGACCAACATGCTCTCAATGCAGTGAAAACCACAAGAATAAGCACTGTACATCACAAATAAAATGTTGTCTTAATTGTAAGTATATGAATACTGTTTCGAATATCCCAAATATTGCGTATGATCCCGTAGTTTGCAATCGCAATTGCACAGCATACAAAAAACAAGTTGAGAAGATGAGTCAACAATTAAGTACAAATAGCAATTAACAAGAATGCGAGAGTTGCGTTGGTCAATTAATATGCTGGGGTTTAACAATCCGCTTATTATGTGCCTTAATGAGACCCACGTAACTGAAGACTATCAAATTAATGAGCTTGAGATTTCTGGATACAGACATTTCATGTGTCATACTCATAGTGCACATAAGCGCGGAGTCTTATGTAAGAGATAGCGTCTCACCTACAGCACTAAAAAATATTGCTTCTTCGGGTAACTATTGGGCTTTTTTTGTGAAAATTAAAATAGGAAGTGAAAATGTTGTCTTCTTTACGTTGAGGAGATTCTTGAGGAGGACTTATATAATAAAACGATAATAGTTGGGGATTTTAATATCAGGTTAGATTTTAATAATCCAAAGATAAATAAATTAATAAATATTACAAAGGATGCTGGTTTTATTCAAATCATTCCGGATCATACAAGAAATACCAGTATGTCGGCTTCCCTGATTGATCTTATATTTTCAAACGACTATGATTTGGTTGAAGCACAGATTTCTGACCACATAATCATTGGATGTTATCTAGAAACCAAGGCACTAAAAGAAAAATCTCAAGTGAATTTTAGACGCCAGATTAATCAAGAAAATAAAATATTAAAATTTAAAGAAATAAAATAACTTCAGTATACAGTGGAATTATAATTTTACCGATGGTAAGGTGATATACGTGCCTTTAATAACTAACATAAACCAGATAGATAAGACAGTACCAATGAAAAAGGTTATTTATGACAGAGTTCCTTGGATGAGTCCTATGATACTTCAGACACAAAAGGCAGGAGATATCGCGTATAAATAGTTTAAGCAGACCGATTGGCGTAATTATCAGACCAAAAGGACTACATTTGTGAGGGTTTTAAGACGTGAGAAGTCGAAATATTATGAAAGAAACATTGATCGGCGTAAGGGAAACAGAAAGAAAATGGGGCGAACGTTAAAGGGATTAATACGCAGCAAACGCAGAAATGCAGGCAACTTCGAAGATCTTAAATTTGGAGATGATTTGGGTAATATAGAACAACATTTTAACAACTTCTATGCAAAAAGCATTCTTGACATTGCTGCAAGTATTCCAAATATACATGATTGTTTAAATAAAATTGAAGCTTTTGTTGAAAACCAAAATAAGAGATCCGGTCGTCAGTCACCAATAACTCACTTCTTTCCAGTGAAAGAGTAAACTTTAATATGTACATATATATGTATGTATATGTGCATACATACTATGTTTATATATACTGGGTACATATACAATACATTTGTATGTACATATATTATACATATGTACTACTATTTCATAATTTTCGTTTTTTGTTCAAAAATCATAGATATTAGGGCATTTATGTAACGTATAATCAATTTTTAAAAATAAATGAATAAATGTTCATTCACAAAAAAGTACACGCATTTGTAATTTTATTGATAACTCGAAGTCTTGATAACTCGAAATTTTCATGTGTCAAATCGCAGTTCGACTTATCGAAGTTCGACTGTACTTCACTTTAGAAAGGATAAATTTATGAAGAGATCAAGACAAACGTTATTGTACCTATACCCAAAGTACCAGTTCCGAGTAAAGTTGGAGAATACTGGCCAATTAATTTATTATCGGCTATAGACAGAGGTTTAGAAACAATTGTGTGTAAGCAGCTGCGTAGCTTCCTAGAAAAAAAAACTAATTTTTAAAGGGCAGTCTGGGTTTCGGGAGAACCACTTGTTTGAATCGTCTTTACAATATGTGTGCTCGAAATGGAGGTCTAACATTGATGACGGTAATATAATTTTAACTGTGTTCATTGATCTTCAAAGAGCCTTTGAGGCCATTGACAAAGGACGTCTGGTAGATAAACTGTTTGCATATGGGATCAGAGGGAATGTACTTGTATGGATAGTTGATTATCTATGTGGCAGATTACATGTAACAAGGGTTAATAACCTGGTATCTGATAAGTTAGAAAACAATATATGTGTGTCCCAGGGCAGTGTATTAGGACCATTGCTTGTTGCTTTTTATTCTATATGTGAACGATTTAGACAAAATTTTGAAAAATTGTTGTCAACCTTTTCGCGGATGAAACTTTGCATTCAATTTCTAGGAAAAATGACTTAGAAGTGGTAGACAACATGAACTCGAAATTAAGGTTACTTAGTGACTGGTTGTGCGTTAATAAACTCAAGTTAAATTTAAATAAAACAGCGTATTTGGGAGTTAACAAAATTTTAATGTATTTTTGGATAATAATTTTAAGATTTATATTCATAGTAGGTTAATAGAAAATTTTTCACAAATGCGGTATCCGGGAGTAGTTTTAGATGCTCAATTGGAGGCAAAATTGGAAAAAAAATAGGTTTGTTGCATAGACTTTCGCCTGAGCTTAGCCACTGGAGCAGAAGTTTTGTTTTTAATGCGACTATCAGCTCTCATTTTTTGTATTGCAATTCATTTTTGATTTCTTGTGGGAACAGTGATGTTCATAGAATACAAGTGCTACACAATCAAGCAATGCGGGCTATTCTGGGTTGTACACGTTACACTCCCACGCGTGTAATGCTTTGGTCTTTATGGTGGTTGTCGGTGTTTTAAAGTATTGAGTTCTCTAATGTTTTGCTGATATATAAAATAAAAAATAATTTACTTCCATCCTACTTACAAGATTATTTAATTCCTATGTCGTACAAACATTCTTATATTGTTAGGGGCAAAAATGATTTTGATATTCAGTTTGTTAAAACTCTACAAATGCAAAAAAGCCTCTTTAGTGATGGGCTTCGATTGTGCAATGCTCAGCCGACAAACACCAAAAATTTACCGAATGTAAAAAGCTTCCAAAAGACGGGAAAATATTTTTATATTAATATTAATATTAATGTGAATTAGCTTTTGCTTTTATATAAATTTAATTTATTACGATTCGAATATATGCATTGCTTATGTCAATTACAAACGTAGTTTTAGTAATGTTTGTTCGTAATAGCATGTA